CTAAAAACATCAGGCGGAACAAAGACAGGCTGTCTAGTCAACAGCCACGGTCAGAGAGCAGCAAGCACCTTACTAATCCTGATGTTAAATGCAAACTCTACCAACTCCCAAAGGCACTCTGGCCCCGCATCTGTGGACAACTCCTGCACCCGGTTCGTTTTCAGTAACTCGTTCTCACATGCTACACAGAATACTCCCGTTATTTGGTGAAAATTTAACACATGAGGACAAGTGAGAAAATAATGAGCAGGCAGGAGAAGAGAGTGTGAGAGCAGGAGAGAGATAAGCAACAAGGGGAGACAGTTTTCTGACCACCTCTCCGCTGACAGTTTGCGCTGTTCTCAAACTCGTTCTGACACTCTGGCTCATGCATGTCACTCATCTCATGCTTTCTGGGTGACAGGCTGTACTGTATGTGAGTGTGTGGACTTCTCAGTGTCTCCATGGGCACTCTTTATAATCGTCTACGCTCACTTTCTGTATGTGCTAAAATCTCCAGCCAGACTCTGAATCACCCACCGCCTTCCCCAGCACTCTGACTCACACCTCAAGCAGCCTCGTGTCCATTCTTCACGGTATGTCTTCCCCCCCCCCACACAACACACACTTCATTTTTGCTTACATTCTTCGCCACTCAGGGATGTGCAAACAAACTTGAGACAGGGGTCAAGGCAACTGAGTCGATGGCCACCTGCTGGTCCTCATAAACAGGCTCCAGGCTGTGTGTCGGGGGGTGGCAGGAGAATAATTAGTCTACTTTTAGCTCTGCACCAAAAAACAGAAAAGATCCAATCACTTCCTCTCATGCAGCACTCATTTAAGTTATAAGTTGAACTGATCTCTGCATTGAGCGTCACAGATCTTGATTACTTAGTTGCGCAGAAGAGAAATTCACTGACAGAGCGACTGGTCTCACCAAATCCAAATAGTCTGCACGACCATTGGTCTGACAAGGCCGGCTTTATGGAGCAAGCTGTCACCTTTATCAGTGTGCCAGGGTTTCAGAAATCTATCCAGTTGGGTTTGTGAATATCAGAGGCTCGCTGGAACAAAGAGCTGCTTCAGAGAAACAGGAAATAACAGTGACAAAGAGGGCCTGTTGATGAGAGGCACAGATCTGCCTAATGAGAGCCACAGTTATGTGTCCTGCTGTTGCTATTCAAATATCATGGAAACCACCGTATTGGCGTTGTGACGCGTGTATGCATGTTATCTATTTGACACCTACGGTCATTTACATTTGGTACTCTAAAAGCAGTCTGTGGACAGCGGCCTGTGGAGATTGGACACAAACTATTATGTTGGATTTGTATGGAGTCATTGACGACTATTCTTAGTGCTCTATGTTGTGGTCACATTATATTATCACATCCTTCTTAAATGTAAAATGCAACCTTCCACACGACAAAAAGCACAGAACGGTAATGTATTAACAGTCTACTACTGATTTACTGTACATGTACTTTTTGATTACTTACTCATCAGTCATTCTAATTCACCTAAAGCTACACATATCAATATTATTCTCATATCACCAATGGATCAAATGACTAAGAGAAATGTGAAAGGAGGAAACACATCCTCTAACTTTGCAATTTCCCTAAGCTCCATAAAAAGTTTCAGTATCTTTCACCTTGTTGTTTAGATTTTGTGGCCTCAACTTAAGGTTTTGGTTCAGTCTCAGTTTCCATCTGCTGCAAGCAGCTGTTTTCACAGGACAAATCTTGGATGAACCCTACATTTAGCTACCTGCCCAGAACCAAAAAGCAGACAGCTGGGGAATAAAGTGAAGCATTTAGCAGCTTAAGAGCCAGATATTTCTCTCAGAAGTTGGTTGAGACCAAAACAGAGCTAGAAGAAGAGAAGACTTCTCTTCAACAGGTCACCAGAAAAACAACGTGGCAACATATGTTGGCAATAACTAAGTGTGAAAATGTCAGTGTCACTTTTGTAGCTTGTTATCCAAAACACATCAAATACAATTTTGAAATCTTTGCTTTTTAACTTGTTTTCCTCGTAACAAAAACTTTGATGAAACTTTTTTTCTGTAGGTTTGAAATCTTCAAACTGACCCACTCTTTTTTTTTTGTCTCACCCCGACTCTCATGAAGCTGCACAAAGGAGCAGTCCATCAAATATTATGTATTTGGAAATGACTGCAGACAAAGACATTGGCCGTATTAGTTGTAAATGTCAAAGTGGGCAAATTATACGTACGTGAAATGTCATTTAGCTTCAGACCAACACATTAAATGTCACTTCTGTACATTCACACATGAAATGCCACGGATAGGATTTCTCCCAATTGTTGTGGAGCGTTCAACCTCTTGTGTGTGTGTGTGTGTTTAAATAACACACATACGGTATATAGACACACACGCAGAAGATGAGGTGATGATGGGAATTCTGCATGCTCGCATAGCTGTCTGTTTTGATCAAATTATAATGACAACAAAGCAGGTGTCCTTAAATTTAGGCTCATCTGTTCTGTGCTGAACTCACTGAACTCCCTGTTCACTCTCTCTCTCTCTCTCTAACTCCCTCTCTGTCTCTTTCTCTCACTCTCTCTAAGTCCGTCTCTGTCTCTCTCTATCTCTATCTCTCTCTGTCTCTCTCTCTCTCTTAGTCCGTCTCTGTCTCTCTCTCTCTGTCTCTCTGTCTCTCTCTCTCTCCCTCCTCTTAGTCCGTCTCTGTCTCTCTCTCTCGCTCTCTCTCTCTCTGTCTCTCTCTCTCTCTTAGTCCGTCTCTGTCTCTCTCTATCTCTATCTCTCTCTGTCTCTCTCTCTCTCTTAGTCCGTCTGTCTCTCTCTCTCTGTCTCTCTCTCTCTCTCTCTCTCCCTCCTCTTAGTCCGTCTCTGTCTCTCTCTCTCGCTCTCTCTCTCTCTGTCTCTCTCTCTCTCTTAGTCCGTCTCTGTCTCTCTCTATCTCTATCTCTCTCTGTCTCTCTCTCTCTCTTAGTCCGTCTTTGTCTCTCTCTATCTCTATCTCTCTCTGTCTCTCTCTCTCTTAGTCCGTCTCTGTCTCTCTCTCTCTGTCTCTCTGTCTCTCTCTCTCTCTCCCTCCTCTTAGTCCGTCTCTGTCTCTCTCTCTCGCTCTCTCTCTCTGTCTCTCTCTCTCTCTTAGTCTCTCTCTGTCTCTCTGTCTCTCTGTCTCTCTGTGTCTCTGTATCTCAATTCAATTAAAATGGCTTCATTGACATTTAGTAACACTGTACATATTTCCAACGCATATTTATTTGTCGAAAAGTATTAAAATCAATAAAATAAACTGAAATCCTACAAGTCAACGTTGGCTGGAACAATACCAACAGGGAACAAGCTCTTTCTTTCTTTCTGGACATACATGTAGAGGAGGACTGACAGTGGCCAGAGAACACGGGGACAAAATCGAGGCCTGTTTCCTGGGCTTTAATCATAATAGGAGTTATCTGGTGTGTAATTTGTAGCTGGGTGGCACCTAAATAAAACCCCTCTCCGTCCTCCCACTCCTCACATTCCCACAGACACATGTTAAGCTGCTGGGATCGCTACATGATGACACATGCAGCCTTTGATGTCCTCCTCTATGATAAATCACGACTGCAGTGGGACACGGCATAAAACTGCGACCAGTCTTCGGAGAGACAGTACGCGAAGAGGTTTTTATCGGTGTGCAGCTGTTTGATGTTATCCAGAGCAGATAATCATTCCTCCCATAGTCAGCCGACCGCACCACAGCTCCAGTAAGGACGCCGCCCCGCGTTGAATGTGGCTTCATCAACTCTTCAGCTCTCACTTGTTCAGACTGTGTTCTGCAGACTTCTGTAACTTCTTTCAAATCAAAGTACAATTTACGCCAGTGCTGTGCTTTCATATTTACTGAGATCACATTAAATACTGCTACCAATTATCTTGTTACACAACAGCAAGTTGTGTAATGAAGACTTTGAAGACCGGACTTCTTCTTGCACAGATAGTTCTTCATGCAAGGGCAAGTAATGTCAGTGAAAACAGGAGAAGGGAAGGACCCATATTTGTATTACAATGGGTCAACAGAGTTTCCTGTTTGTCCAGATGGAAGTCAGCTGTTACATGTAAACACACTGAAGTTTAAGAGCGCTGGTTAAAAACTATATTAATAACATGTGCCAAGACCTACTGCAGAAGTGCTCTATCTTTTTCCAGTGCTAAGGAATACTCAACGTGCTTTGCCCGGGGAATATTTTTGCAATCATCTTCTTTTTTTGCAATTATATATTTTCAAATTAATTTGATGGACATCATATATATATTTTTAATGTATGCACTCTGGCACCTTATTTACTTTAAAAGTACAAAACAAACCCTCGATTCGTGAATCAATTTATTTTCATTGTGACTTAGAAAATGACTGGAATGCCACCCAGCAACCCTGCAGGCCGTGATTTGAGTATCACTGCTGGTCTTCTGTATTTCTAAATCAAAAACCTGACTTTATCGATTCAGTTTCTTTTAAAGCGTCATCACACTGTGTCTCAATCTGTTAATTTACCTAATGTTCTTTCAAAAGTACCAGATTTACAAACTTGCTTTCAGTCAGAATTCAAGTTTTGTTTTGCATCAGCAATACTAGCAAATGGACAAAATTAGCGACAAGCTGGTGAACAAAGCGGAGCATTTAGCTGCTAAAGAGCTAAATATGTTTCCTCAGGAGTTGGTGGAAACCAATACAGAGCAAAAAGTTGAATGAGTATTGGATTAACATTAATAAGAAATAAACAAGACTTCAAATTAATGCTAATCTTGCTCAGGCAACAAGTCTGCTTTACCACAACAACTTCATGAGGTGATACTATGTCAGTGTATAGCATGTTCTGCTGCCACCAACTGTCCAAAATAATCAGTGCATGACAAGCTACTTCAGCAGGATCATTATTTACTGTTTTGTTATTTCTGTCCACTGTTTTCTTTAAAAAAGGTTACGTTGGAGTGGAGATCTCTGACCTTTAGGACTAACCCCAAACCTCTTTTCTCTCCCTTCAGGACAGGAGAGCTTTAACTCCCGCTCCCTGGCCCTGCAGGCCCAGAAGAAGATCCTGAGCAAGATGGCGACCATGGTGGTGGCCAACATGCTGACGGACGACACCAGCAGCGAGATCTTGGACGAGCTCTACAAGACGAGCCGGGAGTTCACCAAGAGCAAGAAGGAGGCCCACAAGATCATCAAGGACGTCATCAAGATCGCCCTGAAGATCGGCATCTTGTACCGCAACCACCAGTTCAGCCCCGACGAGCTCGACACGGTGGAGCGCTTCAAGAAGAAGATGAACCAGGCGGCCATGACGGCGGTGTCGTTCTACGAAGTGGAGTACACCTTTGACAGGAATATTCTGTCAGAGCTCCTGCTGGAGTGCAGGGACATGCTTCACAACCTGGTCGAGCAGCACCTGACGGCTCGCTCGCACGCACGCATCGACCACGTTTTCAACCATTTTGCCCACGGGGAGTTCCTGGCCGAGCTGTACGGGGACAGAGAGGAGTACAGACTCTCCCTGAGGAAGATCTGCAATGGCATCAACAAACTGCTGGACGAAGGAACGCTTTAACCTTACACACCAGACCTCCTTCACCTCTAGCTTTTTTCTCCTCTTTCTCCTGCTGGTCTCTCCTGCTTCCTTCTATTTCCTTTTCACTTGCTCACATCCTCCTCCTTCTTTTCGCTCTCGTCTTCCTGTTTCTTCTTCACGCATTTCCATGAAGCTGGCTGTAACATCCTGCTGCTTTGGTTCATTTGAGAGGAGTTTTTTTTTTAGACTGTCTTTCCCCTCAACGGATCATTGCTGCACACTGGGACAGCCTGTATCATGTTGTATGCATTATAGCATTACCAGTCACCCTCTTTGTGTGCAAAAGTGTACTGTACCAATGGCCAAAAAACATACATTAGGTATAGTTGGATATGGAAGATAATCAGTCGTAGTAAATCTCTCTCTCTCTCTTTGTGGGTGGGTGTCTGTGCGTGTGTGTGTGCACATGTGCTTGTATGGGATTTGCTTGAATTATGTGTTTGTACATAAGACCAATGGTGTGTGTATTATGTATCTGTGTCAATCTTCTCTACAAGGGTGTAACACTTGTCTTTTATTAAAGATTTCTTGTAAACATTATTTTGCTGTTCTTCTGACAACAAAACCTTCACGTGAACTTAGAAAAAGTTTAATAAGGAAAGATGGGTTTGTTCCTTTGTGTTGGCAGTCATAATGATCATTTTCTCTCATGACTCATTTCTTTGGCGACGTGTGAAGGAAAACAATGATTTGCCTGCTGGCCAGTTACTTTCAGAATAAAGCTTCAAATTTACTAAAACTAAAATAACTAAAGGTTTTGCTGACCTTTTTTTCCGGAAACAGCCGCCATGACAGAAACAGCATGGGTGGATCAGCTCTGGAAGATAAGCCACAAATGGTGCATTAAACTACTCCTTTCCCGTCCATTTGACCCACATGCACGCCAGGCATAAATTTGCCAACGATCATTTTGAAATGAGCAGGAAAATCACTGATTTGTCATTTCTGGTTCATTAGATGCCGTCTGGTCTATTCTGCTCTCCGGTCCAGGAAAACATATTACTGGTGGCTTGGTGTGACTCCAATTGAACTATTTTGGCAGCCGGAACAGGAGAAGTCCAGTTTTATGTCTCTGTCTCCTCGTGGAAACACAAAACAGACAGACCACCCACCATTTAAACCTCCATTTAAACTCACACTTCAAGTTAGTTGTCTAGTTATTCTATCAATTTAAATGTTATTGGACATCAAGAGAAATGTATAAATGTACTTAATTTACTTCTATTGGCCTTTGTTCTTTTTGTCTCCTGCTGTCGTTGGACAAAATATCCAGCTTGAGAGATAAAATGTGTCAAACACATAATTCATAAAGGAGATGAATTCTGATTAGAGAGCTGTTACAAGAAGAGAAGACACACATATGCATGCACACATGCATATTTATCTTTTGATGTTGTTCTGGGTTGTCTCTTTATCGTCCATCCTCCAGGCAAACTCAACACAAGTGAATTAAGTAGTATTAATTAGTCACGTATGTGGTTTTGGTCAGTCAATCTTCTCAACTAGCTCTCTTTCTAAAGTGTTGAACTTTTCTTTTAACTCTAATCACACCTTATTCTTAAAGATTTAAAAAGAATGGTCAAAAGAGAGTCAGCATTCAATAGATATATATATTTTTTTAAAGCTCTGAAAACGTTGGATACTACAATTCCCACAATGCATATTTCCCTTAAACCCAACTGCCTGGTAAACCCACATCTTTCATTCCCAATGCCCCAAGTTTGTAACACTGTCTCCAAGCCCAAGTAAAAATAACCCTTGAGACATAATTAGGGGTCATTTTCTCAGACTTGAAAAAAATGACCCCTAATGATGACATAATACAACTGTCTTCGCAGGCTGGGTACTCACGACTCAATGACCTTTCATGTGTAAAATCAGTGGAATTCTTACATTAAATGTGTTCTTACTATAAGATGTTAAACTCAAACTTGTTCTCAGAAGCGTAATTAAACAAGACCACACAAACAACAGAAAAAACACATGTATCTTCTCAAGATAGAGGAGCATCGCTGGACTAACAAGGAGACATGTGGACAGACACACAGGGAGACACATAGACAGACACAGGGAGACACAAAGATA